ATACGGTCCATACCTTCCAGGAGTTTTCTTGCATCTTCACCCAAACAACATAATAATACAGCAGCTTGAGTTTATTTTTCAAATTACACAATTAATAAGAATTTTTAAATTTTTTCCAATTTATACCCAAATCTTCTGAAATAACCATACACTGTAAAAAATAATTACATGTACAGGTTCTGGTAATATTTTGTCTTGGATGTTCATGTAAAAAATTACACATCAGTAATGTTAAAAATAAATACATAACTGAACTAGTAAGTTTTCCATTTGAAGATGATGTACATTTACTTCTTCGTCCAGGTAACGTCATGATTCAACATGTAAAAATGACGATATAATGCATACAGATTTACCATGAAAATAAATAGTAGTCTTAGTAATAATTAATTATTCAGTGATGTAAATTGACGTATTTTTAAGCTTAAAAATGTAGACATCGTTATGCAAGGTTTACAGGATTTCCCACCTGTGTACAGCTTGGCAAATTCAATCTGAGGGCAGTGACGCAGCAAGGTCCGTAATTATTGATTGTGTATTCTGTACACTTTTCATAGCAATCAGATTGCTATATTACAGTGCTTTGTCATCTTGTGATGTCAGAGAAGGGAGTATTTTTGGTTGGTATCAAAAGTGGACGGAATACGCACCTAATAACTACGGACCTTGCCGCGCCACAAACATAAATGAGAAAAATAAAAGTCAAAAGCTTAATATTATAGAAAACATTTATTTACAAAATAAACACAAAGGAAACAAAATTTAACTTAAATGTAACGAAATTAAATTAACGTAAAATCGTTTGGTATTTTTACAAAAAGGTTAAATACTAAAAAAATATTTTTACATAATAGACGTAAAAAAGAAACAAAATTTAACTTACTCTTAGGATGATAACAGGTTTGACGTTACACCCCAGTGAGCGAAAGAAATGCGTGTATGCCAAAAACTATATATCTAGATTAGATCCTTTCTGGCATCGGGTGTTGCCTCACCTCTGTTACCATGCTAAGGTTAAATGTAACTAAATTAAAATGAACGTAAAATCGTTTGTTAAATTTAACCCAAACGTAACTAAAATGAATTTAAAATCATTTTAGTTACTTTTACTAAGAAAATATTTATTAAAAAAATAAATACGTGGCGCCTACTTATTTATTTTTTAATGTGGGGTTATGGATGCTTACCTTTTAGAATAAGTTCATTATAAATGTTGTGTTCATCTTTAAGAAGAAGTATTATTCGATTTTCTCTGCGTAGGTCCCAAATTTTAAACAAATGAGCTGTCATTATTGATTGATTAGTTAGTCAATAAGCTAAATAAAATAATGGATAAGTAAAATGATAAGTAACTTTTAAAAACATTCAAATGGGGTTGATTTAAAATAATAGAGAGGGAAAGTTTCNAAAAACAAAAAGCTTATTAAATTGAGTTCATGAAACTGCAATTCTTTCCCTATTTCATCGTCTCTCCATCTCCGCTAGTTTTCGGGATATCCATACTAAACATGGAAAAAAACTCACCTGTATATATGCAATATACAGTGCTAGCGTAAAGTCGGAAGTTAAACAGGGAGGGGGCGGTTTAACTTCCGAACAGATTGAGATATCAATATGAACAAAAAAACGTCAGTTTCTATATTTTATCAGCACAAATATTTTCTTATGGAAAATTTTGCCATCACTTTTAGTTTTTCCGGAAAATAGATCAACTTTGTTTTTTTAAATGGAACACCCAGTATATTATGGTATCTTCCGAAAGATGAAAACTTGCTCAGTTGGAATACTAAAAACTGTTGAATACCAGATTTGGTGCAATTTGCAACTAAAATCTGATGGATGATACCTATGGAAGCTCTAAATACTTTAATAAAAGCTGTATTAGGTCGCAATAAGCCATCCCGACAATACGCCCTCGCTTCACCACCCTAACACCACCTCCGACAATAGGTCTTTTTTGCATACCTTGCAATCCATGGTTTTCAACATTTTTTTTACCATGGTACTGGCAATATATGTGTGTTGAAGGGCAGCCAATGGGGTTGGTAAATATATCTACAATGATTGGCTCCACTCTTCTTTCAATGTTATCTGACGACAACAACCGCTCTAAACGGTCCAACACAGGATCACAATCATCCAATTCACAATTGGCTCCTGGCGATTGTGCGGAGGAATAATTGTTGATGACTAATGTTTTGTAACTGTGGCGAAAGGATGCAGGTGTTGGATTTGTGTTTTGGAAACCATGCATCCTAACATTCCCAAAGAAATTCTCGAGTGAGTCTTGGTTAAAATTTCTTTGTACAAGATATTGCATCCCACTGACTTTAACCTTTTTTCCACAGCGCTTCAAACCCTTCAATAGTTACTAACCAATTTCTAACGGTTGGAGGAACATAAACTCTATTGTCGGCTTTCTTAAAGAGAATACTTTTCAAGATAACCTTCGCCTCCATCCAAAACTCGTCGTGTGGTGAAGTTTCGGACAGAACGGATCTCAATTGTTTCTCGTTTTGAACCGAAACTGTTGATCCATTAACCGAATCGAACAGTTTATCCGCAAACAAAATAAATTTAGACGTCCCCTACGCTTCGGGTGGCATCTTGTCAGGTGCTGAAAGAAAATAAATATTAAATTAATTATTATTGAAATAGGAACAAAAATGGTAAATTAATAATAGAGTAAGAAATAATTACCATTTCTGGCTATCCATCCCATAATGGAACCAACACGGCGTGATAAAACTTGTGCCGCAAGTTTCACAGACATTTTTTTTCTGTTGTGGGGAAAAATGTGTTCTGTTGTTAAATTGTTTAACATTCTGGTATCATGGTCCCCATCATCTACTTCATATAACTTGATAATATGTTTATATGATGCCGTGTACTTCACACCACCGCTTTCAAACATGAACTTCATTAAATTATTTCTCAGTCCCTTTAAGAGATGAGGGGGATCGTACAAGATGACTATGTCCTGTTCATTAACCACAAAACCAGAACCTTTATATTCCTCCTCTAGCCGTAAAATGTTGCAGGCAGGTAAGTACTCAAACATAAAAGACACCACAAAAATATTGTTATTAAGAAAAAGTTGGAGAAAAATATATCAAAGGCAAAAAAAATGAAAACGGATGTTCCTAAAATTACGTCGCAACTTCGTGGTTTGTGTAAACAATGCGTTAGTTTCGTTCCTTTACATTTCTTTATTCGTCTCCGAACTCTGGCCGTCATTTGTTGTGTTTATTTCTGTAGTCTATCGATAGTGTTTCTGGTTTTGTTGTAATAAGTGTTAATTAGCGTTATTTTTTCTATTTGTAGAGTAGGTATTGTTATTTTTTATTTTATTAATTTTTAGTGTTTAGTATTATTTTTATTAATTTTTAGTGTTTAGTACTGTACTTTTTTATTTTATTTTATTATATATTATAGTAGTTACTGTAGGTGTTATTTTTTATTATATTGGGATTTCTTTTGTGTTTAGTATTACTTTTAATAATTTTTTATGGTGCAGGTATTTATAAATTTACTTGGTTGCGTTTGGTTTTAATTTTTTTTTAATTATATTTACGTTTTGGTCTATTATTACTAGTTATTTGTTAGTAGTGTGTGTTAATTTATTAAAAATGTCTAGTAGTACGCCAGCCAGCCGGTATATGAGTACTGACGAAATATCGTTATTAAAAGAGCTAGTCAATCAATACAAAGACGTCATAGAAAACAAACAAACCGATGCTGTCAATTTTTTACAAAAAAAAAAGAACCTGGGAAGCTTTAACTAAAGAATTTAATGCACGCACAAAAGGTGTACCCGTAAGTATTGTTTTCTGTTCAAGTCAATCAACATTTCTTAATTGTTTTTATTTAGAGGACTGTTGATAAGCTCAAAAAGTGCTGGATAAATCAAAAAAGTAAAAGAAAAGAAGAATTGGCCAGGGAAAAACGAGAAAGGATGTCCACTGGTGGTGGACCCTATAAAGCTCCAACAGAAGATGTAATAGATGACGTTTTAGAAAATGTTAACATAGAAATTAGGGACACTATAGATAGCGATACTGTTGCGCTTGCTGCTATGGGAAATAGTGAAAATTACGAATTGAGAGATGACACTCTGATACCAACAAAACATGTAGAAAATCACGATATTGAATTAGAAACAGAAGCGACGACTTGTAAGTTTTGTTAAGGACGTTTGAGATCTTGTTAGACGATAGTTAGAATGCCTTGTAAGTAATTGTTTTGTAATTTACAGACAACGAGGAAACACCTAAGTTTACCAGAGTCACAGCCCTCCAAAAAGAGCTTAACTGTAGGCTAGCCAAACTAGAGGCATCAAGACAAAATGAATCACAACAACATGATTTGAAACTAAGGCAAGATAAAGAATTTCATTCCTTAAAAATGAAACATGAGGAAGAGATGCATATCTTAAAAATGAAACAAGAAGAACTTCATAAAATAAAAATGGAGGTTCAAAAAAAAAAATTATTGCTGCTTGAAGAAAAAATTAATTTTATAAAAAAGAAACAAGAATAAAATAACAGTATTATTTTTTCTAGTATTATTTTCTGTATTTTGTAATAAATATTTCTTTTCAAATACAGTTCAATTACTTTATTTCTCCCTGTTATATTTATTAAAAGTTTCTGACTCCTCCTTTTAATTTTACAGACAATTAATTAATTATCTATTTTGGGAAGGTGGTAAAGTAATTCGAGTAGAACGTTCATTCGTACTAATTTATTGTAATAAAAATTCGATTATATATATATATATATATATATATATATATATATACCAGGTCACGGATGCGAAAAGGGACCTATCGTGTCAAAAATTTCAATTTTTATTTTTGACGTAATTCTTGGAGAGCATACTTTTTTATCCAAGAATTACGTCAAAAATGAAAATCGAAATTTTTGACACAATAGGTCCCTTTCCGCATGCGAGGTCACATATATAAATATATACAAATATATCTACTGAAACAAAAACAATTAACAATGTTAAACAAATATTATTTTCAAAACAATAAAAAGTTCAAGAGTTAAGTTACTCTTGAACTACAGCTACATTATATCATATTAACGACATATAACATATTAATTAAAATTATGTTCTATAAATGCAGCTCTGCCTCTTAAGTTGTGTATCTGAATTTCCTCCATATTCTGTTCATTTCCTGTCTGATGTTGAATTTGTCTGGAACGTTTGATATTGTGCAGTACTGCTGTTGCTATAATAATTCTTATAGAATTCCTTAACTTGTGTTGCAAAGTACTTTGTAAGCACCGAAATGTAGATTTCCATAGTCCAAATGTTCTCTCTATAGAGTTTCTAGTAGTAACATGTGCTCTATTATACCGCCGTTCAGATCGTGTTTGGGGGTTAAGAACAGGTGTGAACAGATAATCTGTTTGCTGATAGGCACTGTGCCCTAATATTATTCCTGAAACTTCACCTCTTTCTAATTTCATCTTAATGGCACTATTTGCAAACATCCGACTGTCATGTGTCGATCCAGGCCATCGTACCACGATGTCTTGTATCCGTAAGTCTGCATCACTAACAACTTGGACGTTAAGGGACATCCAACCTTTCCTATTACGGAAAACTTCAGCATTCTGTCCTCCAGGGCTTTTATTTTTTATGTGCGTACCGTCGATGCATCCATTCACACCTGGAAATCCGCCAAGCAAGAAAAATTTTCTGTTATGTCTTGCAACTTCTGCCGCTGTGGATGGAAACTTCATATATTGAGGTACCTTACGAGCTAATAGTTCCGACACCTCCGAGATTATTCGGGAACATGTGGGCTGACTGATGTTTACCAGATCACCGCATACCACCTATTATTTTGGTATACATCAAATTTTATATTTTAAATTTTATCTCATATTTACCTGTATACTGCCAGTTGCGTAAAAACGTAAGGCCACACAAATTTTCATGACGGGAGGAATCGGTAAACCCCGTCTTGATTGGTTCTCATTTTCCCCATAAATAAGTGGCATAATAATGGTTTCTATTTCATGTCTTCCAAACCTGTACCTCAGTAGTTATTGGTCATCGCGATAACCCTCCAAGGGATTTTCGTTATCTCTTAATATGACCCTAACATGTTAAGATTATCAATTTATTTAATTCCTACATTGAAGTGATAGGACTGATAGGTATAACAATTACTTACCTCGGTATGCGTAGAAGTTGGTCTTCATAAATGTGTTCGATGAACTCGTTAAAATCGTCGTCCATTGCACTAATAATAACGCTAATAATAAAAAATACTCAAAAAATATAAATAGCACCTGCACTACAAAAACAAAAAATTATTAAAACTAATAGTAAACACCTAAAAATAAATAAAAGAAATCCAATATGAAAAATACCTACACTAAAAAACAAAAAACAAAGAAATAACAATAGGCTACACTACGAAAATAAAAAAATAATTAAAATTATACTAAACTCTTAAAAAAATAAAAATATACCGAATATAATAATGAAAACAAAGTACCTACTCTACAAATAGAAAAAATAACGCTAATACTGAACACTTATTACAACAAAACACTATCGAAAAACTACAAGAAATAAACACCACAGATGACGACCAGAGTTCGAAATCGAATAAAAGAATGTAAAGGAAGGAAGAAACAAACTAACGCATTGTTTACATAAGCAACAAAGTTGCGACGCAATTTTACGAATATGCGTTTCTATTTTTTTTGCCTTGGATATATTTTTTTCCAACTTTTTTTGTAATAACATTATTTTTGTGGTGTCTTTTGTTTGAGTACTTACCTGCAATTTTGAGGTGTATTTTTATATCAATAATATTGATACCCGATATACAGAATTAAAACAATTATATAGATAAATAAATTATGAAGGATAGAATCTTCGGTTTCTTATCTGTTTTATTAAATATGTGTTCCTACATATTATTCAAATACCCATGGAGTGTTAAATTTTAAACAAAATGTATAATAAAAACAAAAATATTCTGCCGTTAATATTAGTAACATAATAAAAAAATATGGTTTTAAAAGTAAAACCATTTTTTTTTAATTATAATTTTTATTTCAATTATAATTTTTTTCTCATTACGAAAAATAAACGAAACATACGAACGCTTTCTTAAAGTGCGATACAGATTCTCGGTCTACAATTGTAGAATCTACATGATGTAGAATCGTCTCTGAATGCGGCCCTTAATGTTTAACGGAACCTTCACACTCCAATTTGCATCACAAATTTCTACAGGCAATATTAAACAATAATAATAAAAATTTTAAACAATAACATCTCAATCGTGTTTCCAAATAATATTTTTTTGTTTATTTTACTTATTTTTTAAATTCTTGTTTAAAAACTTTAGTGTGTAATACAATCGCATCCTTGCACATAAACTTACTAAATAATTTATTGGAAATTCCACACATGGATGCACAAGATTAATGCTAAAATTTTTTTTTTTAATTCGAATAAAATGTTTGGTTTTGTAGATATAACTTCAAAATTATTTTTAAACGTTTCTTCTAATTTAGAAATGTATGAAACAAAATGTGGTTGTGGCACAACCACATTGCCAAAAATATTATCGGGTGTTGCCGAGTCGGTACCTCTCATATAAGAAAATAGATTACCATCGTTCAGGTCCTTAGTTGTAAAATGTTCTATGCAATTATTGCAATTGTGGATATTTAACGTTTTCTTCAATAAATACCCGCTAACATAAGTAAGGGTATTTTCCATAATCTCCATGGATTGATATTCAATTCCCTTAATACTTATTTTATCTGTTGTTTGCAACAACAATTGATGTTGATTCACTTGCTTAGGCAAGTCGGAGACTGCCAAAAAAACCTGGTCTCCATCTGCCTCACAATTTTCGGTGCCAGAATGCATAATGTCGATGCAGAGTAATTTTCTGAAAGACCTTTTAAATTGGATTGGTGTTGGATTTATGCAATTGCCATGTTGCCTCATGGCACCGAAAAAGTTTTTTAGGCAGTCCTGATTGAACCTCCTAGTATATAGCTGCGGGATTTTCAGTTCCTCCCACATTAATAAGAGCGCGGATATCGTAATCTGAAAGCAAATATTATAATTTTATTGTATAATTTATATGATTATTAAGATTATAATAAATGAATAAATTATATTATTTTGAGTGGCCAATGAGGTATCTAAGATACTTCCTATATGAATTAATGAGTAATATTAACCGAACTTTTTCTAAATTTTAGTTAATAATAATTCACAAATTTTTACACAACATAAATCATTAAATTCATATTCAAAGTATCTCGTATACCTTAATAGGCACCCTCTGTATATTATATGTAAGTAATATAGTTATATTTACCCTCCAACCTTTAAAACATTTTATTAGATTTGTGCAGTCTCTTCCGTCTTTATTAATCGCTTTTAATTCACTAAATAATGTGAGAGAGTCCTTTAAGTGATTGATTTGGTAGTCTGTGCCAATAAATGGTCGTCTATATTTTTTATCATTATCATAATTTGAATTAAATAAATCAATTAATTTGTCCATTTTTTCTATGAATTCGGTTGTGCCATGCGCAGAGGAAGGGAGTTGTCCAAATCGAATATACACATTCATACCGATTGCCACTGCTTCACTAAGAAGTTGTGTAGCCAATTTCACCTTCATTTTAGTGAACGCAATTGGCTCCATATGTAAGTCAGATAGCTTTGGAGCTGCCCTAGTTTGGTATTTTTTATCAGAATCATAAAATTTTTGTATGTCGTCCCATGACGCCGTTTTGTCGCGAAATTGAAAATTATACTTTAATAAATTATTCCTCACAGATTTTATTAGGTGAGGAGCATAAAACATAAAAAATATTCTTTTTTGTTAACCAAAAAAAATTGAGTTTCTTCAGACACACCCAGCTGTTGTGACATTACCATGTTGTTGCTTCCCATGTCAGAAATTAAAGCAGTCACTGTAATTGTTATTTCATCAAGTTTTTTTTTGCAGTTAATAAGAATGTCCTTTAAGGGGGTAGAACACTTTAACGGACTAAAAAATATAGTTTCTTGTGGTTTTTTTTAAAGAAAAACAATTTGATACAACAGATATCTGTTATATTACATATGAAGAGTGATTATCGAAGAGTGCAAAAATAAAAAAAAAACACTTATAATCTTCGATATACAATACTTCAAAATGGACGTCTTCAAAAAAATCATGGCGTCCTTGGTTGACAGCAAATTGGTCGACTGATTCATGTAAAACCGAAAAGCCAAGAAAGATTTAATGGCAAATATAATTACCTATAACTGTACGTAGGGAAATTTAAAAATTTTTTAAAATAAAGAAATTATTGACAAATTAAGTATTGTGTAAAATTTTGCAAATTTCGTTATACAAAAAAAAAGAAATAAGTATAGATCTGTTTGATCAAATGAAAAACGGCTACGTACAGTTGAAAACAAACGGTTTTTCTACAAAATGAAACTTGGTTCATAGCAATTTAATGGTTAGATTTTTTGATTAACTGTCAACGAGGTCGAAAAAAGGTGTTTAAAGAAAAACGTATTTAAAGTTTTACTTTTAAATAACGTATAATTTGCAATGAAAAATAGATTCACTAATTGCTATTCAGCAATTCCTGGACCATATAGAAGTTCCTCAACGTCCATAATTATATTTTGATTCTCATAACGGTCACGAATACGACCTTCACGAGTATTTCGTCGCGCCTGTTGTTCGGCTTTCTTCACGCGCTCTTTATCAATGTCATGACAGTAATCATAAACAGTTTGGCCAATCTCAACTCCCAATTGGTCTAAGACACCCAGCAGAGCGACATGCCCATCATTGAATAATATTGTGCCCAGATTTGCAGCAATTTTGACAATTGTTGCGCCGCTAAACGATGATTTTGGTGCAAACTTCCAAATAATATTATTTAAGCTTTCATTATTGTTCTGATGAAAAGCACCTAAACACCTGATTAAAAGGTCGTCTCTACTCAGATCTTCATATATTGGCTGGATGGCTGCTGCAACTTCAGCGGTCATCGCAGGCTTATGTTTATAATTATTTAAATTTCCTGCTGAGTTAGCCTTCTGCCACGAACACCACGACTCCGCACCGATTGGACAATTATCATGTTGAGGTTTTTCGTCGGTAGAGCATTTGTGTAAGATAGTTACCCAAATACTTTTCTTCATATTTTCTACAGAATTAGCATTTCTGCGTATTGCTAAACCATAATATGTCGTGAGCTCTTTTATAAGGTTTGCTGTTAGTTTACCTTTACCTCCTAAGCACTTTGCAGATTTTTTGCAATTTCGTAATCTTGTCCCCATACGTTTTTGTACATGATTTACGCATTCCTTTTTTACAATATCTGGTGAAGTCTGTTTAACTATTTCGGCATAGGTTTTTGAATCGTCATCACCAATATAATTTATATATTTCTTTTTATGCAATTCTTCAGCTCTTGAAAAAATTTCTATCATTGCATCGGGTTCCATTTTTCCTGCGGAGCCAGTGTGATTAATGTCACATTCCTTCTCATGGTCTTCCAGCCAAATTTGATATTCTGATAAATGGGATTTATTTTTCCACAACGCACATGCCTTACAGTATCCTGACTTGACGCAAATATCAAGCACTTTCTTAGAATAGTATCCTATGACTGTTACTACGCCATGTAACGAACAGAAACCACGTTTACGCCACGTGCCGTCGCCAGAAACAATCAGTCCATCAGCCTTTTTACAGCTTTGAGTGGTCAATCCTACTTCCAATTCACCAGCTTTTTTTATTGATAATTTTCTTACTAGCTCTGTGACATCGTGAATTTGAGATACTATGGAAGTGTAAAATGATTTGAAAACTGGACGCGGCAAATCCATAAATGCGCAAAACTTTTGTGCTCCAGCTAAACCTAGCCCAAGTAAACGCATTGCGAAAATGAATCGGCGATTTACTTCATATGCATTTCGTACTAAGGGACATGAATTTATTTCC